TGGGGATCAGCACCCCCGTGCGCTCCTGGCCCTCGCCCCACACCAGCAGCTTCAGCACCGTCTGCAGGGAGGGAAGGCGGGTTGGGGCACGGGACCTGCCCCTGCCCCTGCCCCTGCCAAGCCCCCAGCTCCGCCAGGGCCGTGCGGCCGTGCCAGGCAGGGCACAAAGGGCCTTTGTGAGTGCCCAGGGGATGCAGCCAGCCCCTGGCCTGGGGCTCTGGGGGGGCCGAGGGGGAGGGAGTGGCTGAGGCCTTCCCGGGGCAACGCAGGAGAGCACGGGGACACAGAGGGCACCCCCAGCCCCGCCGGTGCCCCTCGCTCCCGACCCGCAGCCCCCTGCCCCCGACTCCATACCACGATGGCATCGCTGGCGCCCGTGGACAGGAAGATGTGGTCGGGGTTGGAGGGGATGCCCCCGTCCCGCCGCTCGATGTAGCGGGCCACGTCCTGCCGGATGACGGGGATGCCCGGGCTGGCGCTGTAGGCACCTGGTGGGACAGAGGTGGCTGAATCGAGGGGGGGCGGCAGGGGGGGTCCGGCCCCCACAGCTCAGCCGCTGGGAGACTGTCCCGGGGCGCGGGGGCCACTCACCGGCGCTGTGCCCGGCGCACGCGTCCAGGAGCCGCTGTGCCCGCTTCTTGGCGTCCTCGGGGAAGGCGGCGTCGTGGAGCAGCTCGGGGTAGAGGCACAGGGTCGTGACCTGCGGGGCAGGAGCAGGGGTCACCTGCCTGCCCCCTCGCAGCCCAGGCCCAGCCCGCCTTTCCCTGGACTCCTGGGTCCTCCTGGCCCCCGTACCTGGCGTAGGAAGGTGATGGGCGTCTGCCCCATGGCGTGGGCATCCCCGATGTTGGCTTTAATCACCTCCGTGAAGGGCTTCCTCACCCCCTGGGAAAGGACAAGGTGGGGGGGGTCTGACCCAGGACCCCCAACCCAAACTGCTGCCTGGCACACCCTGACCCTAAGCCCTGCCCGGAGCAGCCTCGGGACTTTGGACCCTGTGCCCAGCCCTGAACTCACGTCCGGGACCAGGGCTGGGACGGGCAGGGCTCTGCGGCCCCGCCACGGCCTGGCCCGGCCCGGCCCCCGGGGGAGGTGCGCAGGTCTGGGTACACGGGTGGTGCACGTGTAGGTGCACAGGGGCTGTGTGCATGTGTGCCTATGTGCTTGCATCTAGGCACCTGTTTGCATGTGCATGTGTGCAAACACGTGTGCCAACAGGCTTGCCTCTATGTGTTTGCACATGCATGCCCTTGCAGGGGTGCAAGCATGTGTGTTTGCATACAGACGTGTATCTGTCAGTGTACACGGTGAGGCACTGCCCCCGCCGTGTGCCCCCTGATGGGGGGGTCACATGTGTGCATGTGTGTGTGCGTGTGCCGGCCCCATGTCACCCAGCTCAAGCCTCCAGCTGCCTCCTCCCCGGCCCGTGCCAACCTCCCAGCACCTCTCAGACAGCCCGGGAGGGCATCAGGTCCCTGCACCCGCGGCGGCTGGCACGGGCACACTGCAGCCTGCCACGCATTGCTGGGACTGGGCGGTTTCCATGGCAGCAGGGGAAAGAATGCCCCCCCCCCCCCCCCCCCCCCTGGGGGACCCGGGCCGCCC